ATCTGAAGGTCCTCTTAAGTAAGAAAGTTGGCCTGTAAAACAAATATCAAAGTTAGAAACCCTGTTGTAATAGATGAATAGAAACAAGCAGTAAAAAGAATAAGTACAATACCATATTGGGAATGATATTATTTAACATAGACTCACCTGAAAGAGAATGTATTTTTCTTCTTATCTTTCTCTGAAGCCAGTGTCTTCAGGTAATTGGCGAGCTCCACCGGCCTGGACAACAAGTGGAACTCTTTTGAGACCGAGAGAGATATGCTCTTCCTTCCTTGGGGATTTGCAGAAGGGGTGAATAGTTATGCCCCAAATTCACATGGCCAGGGCACTAGGGAGGAGGGATATCCTCCTCTTGGGCGTGTACAGCCGGTGGGGGAGATGTAATAGTTGTTGGTGATGAAATCACAGTTGGTGTAGAGGGAGATGAAGCTGATGAAATTGTAGGTTGAGAAGCAGTTGCGGCAGAGGTAGTGTTGTTTGTTGGTTGCTCACCAACCAAAAGCAAAAAAGGCCCGATATCCAACCTCATTGGACCAGAAGCAGCAACTGGGACTGAAAAGGGAGAATCAGCATTCTTCACTAAGTCCAGTTCTCCAGAGCGCTCGAACTTCGCCCTCAGTTGGGGTTCTAAGCTCTCCAGATGGAGCACTCTGTTGAGCTGATGAATATCGTTGTCTCCTTTGAAGGGAAGCCTCTTTATCACTGGCTTCCCTATCATCGTCAATAACCACACTAGATGTGGTTAGCTCGGACATGACTTTCTTCACTTTCTTGTTTTTACCCCCGACCGAGGAAGAATACCGCCTTTTTAGTTCCTTATTCTCTAGTCGGGGACTCCGACAGGATGTACCTACACCGGAAGCATATTCCAGGGCACCTGTCTGGGTGAAAGCCTCCTATAACAACCTTGCATCCTCTATAGAATCGACCAAAACATCCTCCTCAGGGCAGGAAATAGAACCCCGCGGGAGACCTGAATTAGACAAAAAGGTATGATTAGCAGGTTTTCTTATATACAAAGATGGAATGAAGGAAAAGTCAGTTTATCTTGGTTCTTGGCCCTCTACCCGTATTTGGGGACCAACTCCTTCCACCGACGGGTCTCTGACATAGTGATATCCAAAATCTTCTAAACTCATCGGTCTAGACCTTCAATCCTTGGTGATGTCCACCGAGTAGCTGAAATAACAAAGCAAAAAGGGTTAACAATGACATGGGACAATCTCTTTTGGAGAAAGAGGCAGATTTTGAACTTATATGAATGATTCCAGGATTCGAGGAAAGATGGAATTGTGGCCGGGGTGATATCTCTGGTAGCAATGACGACAAACCGCTCCATCCATCCACGGTCATTGTCATCATCTATGCTAGTAAAAAAAGCATGGTGGCCATGCTTGCTAAAGTTTATCACTCCCTCACGGAAGATTTTGGGGGAGTAGAGGTTCATCAAGGCACAACCGTTGTAGACAAGCCATCGTTCGCCACACCAAAGGGCCCACCTGAGCCAAACATACCTGGTACCGGTAGCATAACTTTAAAATTACGGGGTCAAGTCCCCCGCTCAAATAAAACGGACTCAAAATGAAGGATACATGTAAACATACATAAAACCCTTCTTAGTGAAGATCACCCGCTCCACCAGGTCAAGAGCAATAATATTTAGGGCATGACAGTCATGATATTCCTTCACAGTAGGGATACTGGAAGGGTGAATATAAGAAAGGTATTTACCAACAACCCAAGTTCGAGGGTTTGAAGTAGGGAATTTCTCTTCGAGACTTTTGGCAGTGTTCAGGTGTTTAGGTATGATGATGCACACAATGGGAAGATCGACATCAACATCAACCTCTTTATCTTTGCTCCTCTTTGGGCCCCCACCGAAGAGAAGACCAGAGTTCTTGAAAAACTTAGAAGAAGCCATAATGATAAGGAGATGATAAAGTTTTTTGAACAAGAACAAAGAGAGATAAAAGAAGAAGGGAGTTAAGTGTAAATAAGTTAAGAACACTTATGAAGTTGTTAGAAGTGAAAGAAGAAGAATGAGGTGTATAAGTAAAGATATAGGCGGCTAAAACCATGGCCATAATTATCTCGAGAACCGACAAAAAAATTGCTAAATCGTGGAGTAACACGTGTTCAGGGTATTGAATGTGAGGAGACGTGCATTTTATTAAACGTTGGAAACTTTTCAGAAGGGTTCAGAAAACTTTTCACCAAGAAAGGAATCTTCACCAACTTCTCAATGATAAAAAGATGTGCCAGTAGAAAGCAGGGGGACTATCTGTATAGGGTAAAATTAGTTTATATTAAATGCTCGAATGATTACAAACACGTGGAATCGGAGGCGGACGGAATGTGAAGCGAGTGGGAACTAAGACCGAGGACAACGACTTCGGTTGGTATCGGGTAGATCCCGAAGGGAACGCAGTCAACGAAGGCAAACACATGTTTGTCATCAGATGGAATTTAATAAGGAATATTTCCTAGTAATAAATATGCGACTGTTGTAGGAGATTTTTGACATTCATAGCCTGTCGTTACGCATTCATCAATGGCCCCCATTATTGTCATTTAAGAGGGGTTTGATTCTAGGATCGTGTTCCCTAGGTATAGCTATAAAAAGGGATTTGAACAACCATTGTAACACACAAAATCTCTGGCAAAACCTATGCTACATTTTACTATCAAGCTGAATAATATAACTTTATTTTTTGTCTAATATTGCTCTTGTCGCTGTTTTCGGAAGCCTTACTTCCGGAACCAGGCTTGCTATTTCTTTGGATTTCAATGCTAAGTCTTACTTTTTATTTAATTTATTTATCAAGGTGGGATCAAATCAATTCGCTTGTCTACAAATCACGTAACAAATTCAACTATACCGTTTTACGGGTAAACAACAAGTCCCTCTTTAGTTTTAGATCCTAGAAACTACCATCTCTATGTTGGGCAATAGATGAATTTGGATGGCTGGCAATTCTGAGTATAATTGGAAAAGCTTTCTTCAACGTGTGAACTCCTGTCCATTTTTCTAGCCAAATCCTCATATAATTCCCCTCCCCTGATACAAAAGAAGTGTCGCTAAGGAACTCTTCCCATAACTTGTTGATGGTTTTCCAGTCTAGTTCCAAGTGGTGTAGGAAGTTGTTTCAGCTATTCTTCCTATAAAAATTTCTCGAAAAAAGACATATTTTTATACAACGCCGCAATGACAGTGAAAACTAAAAACTCATATTACAGAAGCCAGAAATTACCTTTATGCATTGCTACATAGGCAAGCAACTTGTTTGTGGAGTAGAAAACCATGCTGAAGATAACTAGGTCACCTTGGCTGCGACCAACTGCGTGGCAACACATTTCTTTGAAGTCATAACTCACGTTACAGTCGATGAAGTCACGGAAGTTCGATATGTCAGCGACTCCAGGTAGTGCACACTTTATGTGCAGTCAGCGGTATCTCTTTGGCCAAGCTGCAAAAATCAGCTTATTTTGAGAAGTGCTTTTTTTGAAAAGTACTTTTCTCAGAAGTACTTTTGGTGAGAAGCAGTTTGTGTTTGGCTAATTAGTTTGAAAAGCACTTCTGAGCAGCAATTAGTGTTTGGTCAAGCTTTAAAAACTGCTTCTAAGTATATTTTTCTCAAAAGTGCTTCTAAAAAAAGTGCTTTTGGAGAGAAGCTATTTTTTTTGCTTCTCCAAAACTGCTTTTGCTTCTCCTCAAAAGCATTTTTTTTCCTTCCAAAAGCTTGGTCAAACACAAAAAAGCATTTTTCGCCAAAAAGAAGCTTGGCCAAACAAGCTATATATGTTTGCCCATATTTCTTCCGTGTATTTAGTTAAATAATTAACGGCAAAGGGTCAAATATATCCCTATACTATGAGAAAAATATTTAAATATACCCTTACTTTTGATCCAAATACACTCTTCCCGTAATACTATTTATTCAAATATACTTCTCTTCCGTTAAATTTGTCCAAGGTCGACATCCAATCCGACGTGGCATTGACATTTGATAAGGTAGATGTCACATGACATGTCACCTCAATGCCCCTAACCTATTGTACCCCTCCCTTTTTGTTTTTTTCACAATTTAATTTTCTTTTTGTGATGACCCAAGGGGTCATCTTGTGTTTTAGAATCCGAATCCGGGTTCCGAGGCCTTGAAAACCTTATTTTTTCCTCCTCGATTTGCGTGCGCAGTCCGGGCGCGTTTCCGAAAAGCTTTTATGTGAAATTTAAGAAAAATATGAAATTTTGCCTTTAAAATTGATTAAAGTTGACTTTGGTCAACGTTTTGGGTAAACGGATCCGGACCCGTGTTCCGATGATTTTGAATCATATTAACACGCAACTAACATAAATGTGGTGGAATTTTTGGAATCTCTTCACTCTTAATTTAAGGTTGTAAATTATCAAATGGTGGCGGTAATAATAGAAATGGTAGTGGAGTGGAAGGAAATTTTTGTGGTGAAAAATGAAATAGAAGGGAGGGGTAAAATGGGTTAGGAGCACTGAGGTGGAATTTCATGTGGCATCTACTTCATCAAATGTCAGTGACACGTAGGATTGAATGTCTAGCTTGGACAAACTTAACGAAAGAAGGCTATATTTCAATAATATTACGACAGGGATATATTTGGACTGAAAGTATAACAAGGGATATATTTAAACTTTTTTGTCATAGTACATGAGTGTACTTGGTCCTTTGCCGAAAAATTAATCGTTACATTATATTTTTCAAACTCCTGTATAGTAGACTAGATGTCGTGGAGAGGACTCCTTGTACATTAATAGAAGCAGTTATATTGTGTACAAGTTTGAGTGAGACTCGGGTCACTTGAGAAATCTCTAGCCCCTTTGAATTTCTAGTCATATAAATATACTAAAAATAAAACTAATAAATATAATCTTGATAAAATTCTAGTGGCAAGAAGAGCTTCACAATCCAATAACCAGAAAACCCTTGTATCTTTTTCAAAAACCAAAGTGATCATCACATATGTTATACTTNGAGCTTCACATCCTTAATCTGTCGAGAAATTTTACTACTCAAGACTTTATCGAGTCTAACATAAAAGCATCCCCGCAGGTCAAGTGATACAAGATTAGGACAACCATCAAGAATAGCTTGAAGGCCTTCATTTGTCATATAATTTCTAATGAGCTGAAGGCGGCGCAGGGCAGGCAAGCTTTGAGCAATAGCTAGAGCCTCTTCATTTATTTCATCACTGGATTTCGTAATACTGGAGATCTTCTTCAATTCTAACGACTTAAACCATGACCAAGAGCGTTCAAGAGCTTCAAAAGCTTTAGCTGTGATAGTAGCGTCTATCAGACTTAGCTCTTCCAATGATGGCAACTTTTGAACTACTTTAATGAAGCCTTCGCGTTGTAGTTTTGAGTAGCAGTACCACGTAATACTAAGTTTTTTAAGTTTTCTTGATCTGGTGATCAAAAGAAAAAAAATGAATAAATGGAAAGCAAGTGGAAGCATACATTAAGGAAGCTAGAAATTACCTCTCTGCTACGTAAAAAAGCAACTCTTTCGTGGCGAAGAATGACAATCTAATGTCAACTACTTCACCTTGGCTTCGAACAATGGCATGGCGACACATTTCCTCTAAGTGGTAAGGCTGGATATAAGGGCCATCATAATTCCACATGTCAATGACTCGCCACATGGACGGGTTCTTGCACACGCGCCTCCATGTAGTGCACACTTTCTGTGCAGTCAACAGTATCTCCACCGCACCTAGCCTGTGTAATATGTTTGCCCATATACCTTTCGGCAGTTCCAACCACGGTGGAATTTGCAACGTTGACATAATTTCACCGTCTCCTTTTCCCTTTGTATTCATTTTTTTTTCCTAGGAGAATTGGGAAAAGTATGAGCTTTTGGTTTTCACGAGTATCGCATACTAATTAGTACAAATATTTTAAAATATTAGAATAAATAATGAGTTAGACGAATTTTGAAGGGGGAAAATGCAAGCTCAAATTGATGAATTATAAACCCACTCAATCGATAATTATTGTTGTTGCAAAGTACAATCTTATTGAAATTGCTAGAAAGTAAAGAATCACTCATAAATTAAAGAAGAATTAATTAGGAGAATGAAAAAATTCTTATAACGGTAAAGAAAAATTGTTGTAGTAGCAAAAAACTTATGGGAGAAAATAGAAGAGAACATATATTTTACATGAATAGGAATTATAAATTAAAAAAAAATATTCCATGCATGGAGTACCTTTTTTGGTACACTCATACTCATTGTGTTTTCTTTGTTTGACTGCTAACTCACTCTTCGTTCTAATGCTAAATTGTCAAGCAGTTGCCAATGGCATAAAAGGAGCTTTTGTTCTAATTTTCAATTCTTACTTTTATTCTTTTGATATCAACTATTTATATCATTATATTATAGAAAAATAATATTAATACACCGTGAGAATGATTGCAAGCACAACCATCTCGAATTAGCAAAGCTCAAATAAAATGTAACAACAAAAGAAATAAGTATACCTAACTTGAGAGGCGTAAAAGTCGAGATGGAACATGATGAATTGTTGAATTTAGTTCGTTGTCCACTCATGATTTATACAAATAAATAAAGTATGAGAGAAGCCCGACATACAAGAATATGCACTAATAAATGTTGAAAATTGAAAAGGAAATACATTTCAATGGCAATTATGAGTATAAAAGAATGCAATGCTGGAAGTCCAATTTCATTTATTGGGGCCATGTTGTGAACGACTCCCACGTTTCTATTTCTGCTGATTTTTTTTTTATTTGCATTAAATTTTTTCTTTTGTTATCTTTGAAAAATGTATATGTACATTTTCGCACAACAAAGGTAAAATAGCCGTTCAAAATTTTTATGGTTATTTTGATATTTTAACTTGCAATTTAAATAAGTTTACCTAATTTGAGAGGTCTAAATGAGTGGTATATATCGAAATGGAATCAGATGAATTGTTGAATTTAGTTCATTGTTCATTCATGATTTAAAAGGAAGCACATTTCCAAGGTTATTTTCAATAGGCAATGCGAGATGAAAGCAATTATGAGTGAAAAAAGACGCATTGCATGAAGTCCAAGAGTTATTTTCCATTTACTATGGCCATCTAAACGGCTCCCACATTTCTATTTATTTGTTAAGAAACTAAGCTCAAAGTAATAATATGAAACAATAAAATAGACAAAAGATGTAAAGAAGAAGAGGGAACTTTCTTATTTTTTCTATGTATTCCAAGTGTGTACAATGTGGTGCGAAAACCTATTTATAGAATTATATAGAGGTATACAAAAGAATGCCATAAACATGGCATTAAACATTTGAGATCACGGGGGAGGTTATGGAAGCATGGAGGAAGATCATGGGAGTTATGGAGATAATGGAGAAGAGTAGTGGGAGTAACTTCTTTAGGAGTTATAAACATCCACTAATATAATTATAATATTTCACAATACTCCCCCTTGGATGTCTATACATAATGTGTCTCGTTAAACTCTTACAAGGAAAAAAATTCAATGGGAAAAAATCCTAGTGAAGGAAAAAGAGTAAACATATCTATTTTAATTTTATTTTTATTTGCATTAGACTTTTCTTTTGTTATCTTTGAAGAATGCATATTTATATTTTTGCACGAGAAGTTTCTTAAAATAATGCTTGTTTGAAGCATAAAATAGTCTCAAACTTTTAATGTCATTTTAGTCTTCATACTTATAATATAATATAATATTATGATATGATATTTTTAAAGTGGCGAAAAATAGCGTGAAGGTTATTGCTTAGATAGAAGGTCCTCATTGGGTAAAATAATACATTCTAATTCTGTAACGACTCGGTCGGTTGTTTTGAGTGTTGTAGCCTCGTTCCCTCATTTACTGCTCTTTTTGTGTTTTATAGTTGTTATATGACTTATCTGGTTAGTTGGTTCGGGTCCGGTAGGATTTCAGAATGAATTGAAACACTTAGAGCCCGTTTGGACATAATAAATTTTTCCCTTTTTTTTCATTTTTTTCACTTTTTTTCGAAATTAGCGTTTGTTCATAAAATTTCCAATTTTCACTTGAAGATGCATTTTGGAAATTTTCAAAAATTTTAAAAACTCCAAAAAGCTGTTTTTCAAAATTTTCACTCAAATCACTCACAAAACATAAAAAAATAACCCAAAATTATATTCATGTTCAAACACAACTCTAAATTTCAAATACAATTTTTATTTAAATAAATTTTTCACCATGTTTTGAAATTTTATAATTCTTATGTCCAAACGCCAGGCAGGATATGGCGAGGCTTCAGATTTCCGAGGACATGACACTTGATAGGAAGTTATGGAGGTCGAGTATTACGGTTGTAGGCTAGGAAGTAGCTGAGTCTTGCGTTACCTTGTACTGTTGTGAGCCTAGTCTGGTAGGGTTTTAGTTTGAAATAGCTAGGGGCGTTGCAGTGTCTTACTATTTTCTCTTTTCGGTGCAGGACCTATTTACTAGCCATCATTTTTGTTTTGCATTTTTCCTTCTGCATTTTATGTTCTTATTTTTCCTATGATCTTTGTGGTGAAACTAATATTCTCTCCTTTTTATTTTTCTTATTATCTTAAGCCGAGGGTCTTCCGGAAACAGCCTCTCTACTCCTTTGGGGTAGGGGTAAGGTCTGCGTACATACTACCCTCCCCAGACACCACTTGTGGGATTTTACTGGGTCGTTGTTGTTGTTGTTGTTGTTATGTCCAAACGCCCACTTAGTCTCGTAATTGAGAGCTTAAGTTGGAAAAGTTGACCGGCTATTGACTTATGTGTAAACGATTCTGGAATGAAGTTTGGATGGTTTCGTTAGCTCTGTTGGATGATTTTGGACTTAGGAGCGTATCTGGATTGTGATTTGGAGGTCTGTAGTCGAATTTTGAAATGGCGAAAGTTGGATTTTTGGAAAGTTTGATCAGGAGTGAAATTTGATATTGGGGTCGGGTTGGGATTCCAAAAGTTGGAGTAGGTATGTGGTGTCATTTGTGACTTGTGTGCAAAATTTGGGGTCATTCGGACGTGTTTTGATAGGTTTCGGCGTCGTTTGTAGAAGTTGGAAGTTTCAAAGTTCATTAGGCTTGAATCTATGTGCGATTTGTATTTTTGATGTTTTTTGAGGTGATTTGAGGGTTCAACTAAGTTTGTATAATGTTTTGGGGCTTGATGTTATGCTTGGTTGAGGTCCCGGGAGCCTCGGGTGAGTTTCGGGCGGTTAACGGATCAAGATTTGAAGTTGAAGGATTGCTGGAGTTTGAGTGTTGCTGGTGTAATCGCACCTGCGGAGTGGGAGCCGCAGATGTGAGCTCGTAGGTGCGTGATAAGTTCCGCAGATGCGGAGTCTGAGGAGAGGGGAGTAGATGGTCGTAGGTGCCAAGGTTTTCCCGCACCTGCGTGATCGCAGATGCGGGGTGAGGACCACAAAAGCGGAGAAGGGTAGTGGAGCTGGGCTCCGCAGAAGTAGATGGTTGTCCACGAGAGCGTGTCCGCAAGAGTGCAAGTTAGGTCCATATATACAGAGGAAATCACAGAAGCCAGCATTTTGTCGCTCCCGCGAGGCCGCAGAAGCGGCTAAGTTGTCGCAGGTACGAAAAGCCTGGGTAGGACATATATTATCGAGGGTTTTAAGATTTCCTCCATTTCTAACATTTTGAGCTCAGATTTTGGAGATTTTTTAGGGGGATTTTGAAGGGATTCTTGAGGTAAGTCACTTGTGGTTAAATTTCCTCAATAATTATGTTTTCCCATTGAATTTCCCACCTAGTTTGTGTGTTTTTGAGGTGTAATTTGAGGGTGTGAGGCTAGGGATTTAGAGAGTTTGATTTGAGGATTTGAGTGATAATTTGGTATCGGATTTGGATAAATTTGGTATGATTAGACTCATGATTGAATGGTTTTTCGGATTTTGTGACTTTTGTTGGATTTCGAGACGTGGGTCTGGGGGCCAGGTTGGAGCCGATTTTAGTTTTTTGAGTTATAACTTCGTAATTTCTTGTAGAATTGATTACTTTAGCCCGTATTGATTGTATTGTATTGCTTGTGGCTAGATTCAGGTCATTTAGGGACCGATTTGTGAGGCAAAGGCGTGATGGAGTAGAGTTTTTGCTCAGATTGAGGTAAGTAATACTTCTAAACTTGGTTCTGAGGGTTCGAAACTCCCTAATATGTGTTGTATGATTGGTGTTGAGGTGATGCATATGCCAAGTGACGGGCGTGCACTGTGAGAATTGTGACCTGATCGATTCTATGGCGCTGTATAGTGGACATATCTTGTTTATGTCCGTGTTTGTAGACATGTAATTTTTGACCCTCCTCGAGATTTTATACATTTTAGTGATTAAATATTTAGTTTAGTACTAATATCGCTATTTTAACTAGTTTCGACCTTTTTACTTTATTTTATCACAAAAATAAAAATTACAAAAATATTTTTTCTTATTTAGCTAATTGATATTTTATTTAGTTACTTTTAGTTTATCTACCTTTCATAAAATTAAAAAATATAGAAAAATAGTTTCACTTTTAGTATTTAGTTTTATTTTAGTAGTTTATTTTAATTAAGAGTGATTTCTATATTTTATAAATACATTCTACTTTTTAGAAGAAGATTTGAGATTTTAGCTAAAAGAGTTTGAACAACCCCAAAATTAGTCTCATTTTTTAATTTTCTTAAGCAATTTTGAACCAACCCAATTACCCTTAGCCCAAATAACTTTAGCCCATTACCACATCCTTTAACCTAGACCCTTCAGCATATACACCCTAACATACAGACCCTAGAGAAGAAGACCAGTGCCCCACCCCTAAAGTCAGCCACCACCGCCGCACCACCC